TTGCTTTCACTGTACAGTTCACACAGGTTGTAGACGTCATAAACAATAGGATAGACAACATTAATTGCTTTCTGGATATTTTGAAGAAGATTCTCTTTGATATGGGCTTCTTCTTCATCGTCATCCATCGGAAAATCCTCAATTGCTTCCATTGGTAGCACCCGTCCTTTGCGTCTGGCTTTTACAAGTCGCGAAAAAACCCCTTGGATTTGTGTCTTGGTCAGCTATTCATCCCTTTTTAAAACGTCTCTCGCCATCGTGTTCTCTTGCCGATCTGCTATCTAGGGAGACTTGGTGCGGGTCTGCTTTATTTCCTGTAGCTTCTCCCAAGTTAAACTTAGTAATTAGGTAATCACGCACCTTTTGGGGAAACCGTGTCCCTCCTGTTCTTTGCTTGCTTAGAGCCCAACCCATTTGCCGCTGCACCGATTTTTCTTGGATGGCTCATCTTCTCAAACTGTTGCTGAAATCAACTGTTGTTTGTGTCTGGGTCACCTTTGAGTAAGAGGCCACCCACTCTCTTCTTAAGGTATCATAAAGGCCCTCGTTCTTTAAAAACCTGCAGTGTTTGCCAAAACTCTGGTGTAGGTCTAAATCATCAAGCAAGGAGCAGATGTAGTTGCACCTTGCTTCAGGACAGTAAAATAATCCACTCTCTTTCTCCGGATCTTAATTTTCACTTGTTTTTACAAGCTGCGTTGATGGTCTCCTGACAGTAAACTTCTTCTGTCTTCTTGTGTCTTGTGTCTTCCTGGTGGGTAGTAAAAATTTCAGTGTATTTGAATTTCTTTCCTTTACCAATACCATGTGCTTGCCATACTCTAATGCAATCATCCTTATATCTAAAGTTATGAAAAGCACTAGTGTGTTAATTTCTTGACTTTAAGTTGAGTCACACATTGATTGATTTGGTTCACCGAGGTGCCTTTCACAGGATGAGCTGTATGTGAAGAATGCATATCAGATGCACTAATGATGTCATTTCCTTCATTGCAGTATGTATAGATAGAAGACTTTAGAGGACAAATTATCCAATCGCAGATGTCTTTTCCTTGTTGAGGCTCTGAGTAGTCGTATTGTGTGACAGCAATCCCTTTACGATCTCTCACATCTCTTAAGGCAGTGATTAACTCGCTATTGTGGTAGCAGCCCGCCTCGTCTGACCGAAAATACACAGTTTTCACACAAGGATAAATAAACTTGATGTTGCCAAGAAGATCCTCAGCAATGGAAGCCACAGCAAACCAATCCTGAGTACAGGAGTCAAAAAGATGTGCAAAGTATAGTACGTTGATGTGCTTTTTATTGGCGCCCTTCAAAACAAGAGTACTAATGTGCCAACTGAGTCCTCTCTTTCCAAACCAGTCTGATTGTTTCTCTCTGTGTTTGTGTTAGAAAATATTTCATGGCCCAATCCATGACTACTAGAATAGATGTTTTGTCCAGGGTGTCGATTACTTCTTGCTTTGCTTCTTCCTGATTAACTGATCTGAGAATATGGGCCTTCCATTGGTATATGCAACTCTGGGCTAGCTTGAAATCATAAAGGTGATTTTCTAGCTGTTTTTTATTGTACTTGCTACTTGCTACTGCTGCTAAGTTATTTTCTCATTCAGCTCTGCGAGAAGCAAATCTAAAGCTTTGCACTGTTCACAAACAAGCAGATGTTTATGATCGCAACAGGATTTTGAAATTGTCTTCGGCTGGATTGCTTAGAGCAAAGACCCGACAATGGTCTGCACATCTGCTAGTTTTATCTTGACAGTCAACTTAATAGTCAGTCTTTAAATATTGTTTATGTTTGTCCAATTTTGTGCTCATTGCTTGGCCCCAACTTTTGTCCACTCCAAACAGCTCCAATTGCTGAACAATAGTCTTCAAAGTTCCAAATGCTGTAGATCCTTCGGCAGCAGTATTTTCTAATCCCTGCAGTGACTTTCGTTGACTGAGCTCTCTTACCTCTAAAATACGGTATAGAGTCCTTCTACTTAGAGGCTCGTATCTAATGTTTTCGCAGTGCTGGTTATACTCCATAACCATAGTTGATCTGGTTACTATATATGGAACTATATACTGGAACTACATTAGGCATAGAAATAATTTCTCTGTTGTCTAATTTTAAAGTTCTCATCCCATAGGCAACATCTTGATGGAAATAAGGTCGATTTAAGAAATCTACGAAATGGTCTACTTTGGTCATGTCTAAATTGATTTGATGCTGCACTTTTTTTATGACGGAGGCTCAAACTAAGGTAGGGTTCGTGGATTCTTTGGGGCTTTCGAAAATGCATTCATCAGCGCAATGAGGTCACTCGATGGTTGCACTGGCTTGGAATCAAGTTTTGTTGGCAGAGATTTTAGCAAGTCCTCTCCATTGTTTGGAGTAATAATATCGCAAACAAGCCTACAAGCTTCAGAAGCTCTCTCTGATGCCGTCTCCCAGTTAATAATTTGATGGGTTAATGGAGTGGGGTTTTCTGCACCTGCAGCAGCGGACAAACACGCCATGGCTTGATTGTACATAGTGATGACGTCTGATTACATACTATTGGTATCTTCTTCCTCCGTATCACTACTGTCGTCTTGCCCTCTCCAACATCCTGGAGTGGACATCCGATCTGTTTTGTTACCAATAGTTGTATTCAATTGATTGCTGTCATCTTCCCGAGCAACAACTCTATGGGAACAATCAATACTAGCATCATACATTATCAATCAAAACGTTAATGCTGAGTTTCATGTATTTTCATTTACTACAAATACAATAGTGAAAATTTAAACTTACAGTTTCTCCGCTTCAGAAGCTGCATGTTTCTCTTTAATTCTCTTATGGGCTTTGAGGCATTGAGTACATATGGCTGAAATGTTGTATAAAATGTTATGAATGATTTTATCTTAATTGTTTCTCTCCATTAGCCACCAGTCACGATACCCAACCCTGCCTATGCCTTTTATAGCAGTCTTTATTAATAGTTGTTTTCCTATTGGGAGAGAGATTTTAACCCTCTGACAGAATTCTGACTCCTATGAAATTGTAAAGGTCTACAACTGTAATTCAACAATGTACAATATACAGTGGAATGATAAATTAAAGACAAAAAAACTCCTCTACTGAAAATTTGACGAAGTTTTCGTCTAGCGACGGATTTCATCCTGGAAGGACAGATATCTATCTTTTAGTTCTAAAAAACCTAACGATCAATATGTCACTGTGATATTACAGTATACCTCTAATTTCTAATGTTACCACGCGAATGCTGTGCATTGGCCCATTCGCGGTGGAACTCTAATTATATTGCGTATAACAAATTAATAACAAATCAACAATGTGATTATAACTCTAATGCAAGTACTCCATAAATTTGGAATATATCTCATGATATTTCCAGGTTAATAACATCTTTTCCTTTGCAGCGACGTGCAGGGGGCAGTGTGAGAAGGATGTTGGCATGTTAAACAGAGTCTCCAGTACCGGCCCAAGTTGTACAAGTGGTTTGGGCATACAGTCATAGAGCATATTTCTTTGCTTGATATAGCTTGTAAAGCTCTTCTCAAAATCAGCTCACACTCGCTAAAACCAGATCTTGACGAATGGCAACTTGAAAGATTGTTTTGAATGTTCTCATCACAATTTTCTAAGCGTCTAATACCCGATTCACCCTGACACCCTCCACATACAATTGAACCGACCACATTAAAAGAACAGAGATTATCCATACTAACTCTCAACTTTTGCAGATATAATTCAAAGATCAACTTTGCAGAAAGGTTCCATAAATAAACTTTGCACATTTACAGACTTTTCGAACTAAGCAATAGCTATGTAAACTCTAAATATAGCATGTGCCACATATAAAGTTCACACTGCAGGCAGGCTTTTCCCCTAGTAGCATATTTTAATTTGGTTAAGTTGTTTAATTATAACATGCCTGTTTTTTAAATCCTTTTAAGTGACTATACTAGTCGCTCTATGTAATTAGGTCCCACTTTTAAGAAACTCAGCATTGAACGTAGTAGGATTTGAAAGCCGTATTTTGACATGGCGCTCTTTGTTGCTAAATATTGCCACAAATGCTCTGTAATTGAAAACCTAAGTTAGTTTAGACGAAATTAGGATAGTTTTTTGGTGCTGGGTGTGAATATCAGTAATTTTAAACAAAAACTTTTGAAGTTATGTTTATTTAAATTCAGCCCATTTTTACGTTTAATTAGCCGGCGAATTTCTCCTGCGACGGTGGGAGACCAAAAAATTGCTAAAACTTTGAAACTAAATATATATTCAAAATTCCAAACAGCATTTGTTTGTGTTGAAGTAAATGTTGTTCATGGTAAAAGTTTCGAAGAAATATTTTTTCGAGGCGATAGTCAGTGGGCGGTTTTTAGAGACACACACTCTTAATCCATGTCCTTCGACCTAAAGTTATTGTGCCAGTCGTAGAAAAATTGACGATGACTTTATTGTTGTCATATAGATCCACACCAATGAATTCTCCCTGTATCCATTCTTTAGACACAAAGACTCGCATTAATATGCCAGGCTTCCAAACAACACCTTTGTCCATAACAATCATTAGTGGTAATGACTTTTGAATCGTTCCACGCAATGTTATGGTTAGTTTGACACACATGTTCCGCCAAAGCTGATTTGAACTGTCTAAGTTCGAAACAGCCTTTTGATGTTTTTTTAAATGTGTGTCGAACTGGCGCTTTGTTTCACCTAGATATTCTTTCTCGCAATCACCACCAGGGCTTCCACTTGCAAGGAAATTTCCCTGCAAAAGGAAATTTGAGCTTTTTCAAGGAAAAAGACAAGGAAATTATACTTACGAGGAAATGGCCAGGAAATTTTAGTCTAAACATGGAATTTGCAAGGAAATTTAAAAATTTTTGTATATTAGAAAGAAAGTTGAATCGAAAATTGAAATATGTAATATATTTGCAAAAATTATTACTTGTAATGCAAATACACTAATGTATATGCAAATACTAAACTTGTTGGCATGAACACGGATGATTATTCTTCCTCAGAAAGTGAGTCTGAATGTGAAACCAGTGAATATCAAGAAACTTCACCGTCAACGTCTTGTCCAAATCCTAAAAAACGAAAGCGACCGAAACAAACGCAATCTTTTGTAGACAGATGGTTGACAGAACAACAATTTAGCGGCTGGCTAACAAAGCGACTTGGAACTGATCAAAAGCCACAACCATTTTGCAAATCATGCAATAAATTCGTAACTTGCTCGAAAACAGGTTTGAAACGTCACTTAATCAGCAAGTCCCACCAGAATAGACATGCAACGAGTACCGCTAGCTGTAGTACTATTACCAATCTGTTCAATAAGGCCACCAACCGACATGAAACGAGTTCAATTGAAATTAAACTGTGTGCATTCATTGCAGAGCACAACCTGCCACTTTCACTTGCTGAAGACTTAGTGAAACTGCTTCGATCGCTTTTCCCGCTCAACCAGACTTTAAGAAACGTAATGCTTGGTAAACAAAAAGCGACTAACATTGTGCGGCAAGTTATCGGTTTCGACTACTTACATGAAGCAATTTCAGCATTGCAATCCCATAGTTACAGTTTGATCATTGACGAGACAACGGACATGAGCACCGCTAAACAACTTGCTGTATTAACCACTTTCTTTGACATGGAAAGTTTTGAGTACAAGTCATTCTTGCTTGACATGGCAGAAATTGTACAAGGAACAGCAGAAGGGATTTATTCGACTGTGAAGCACGTGTTTGCCGAACTGCACATTCCGATGGAAAGAATGATTGGCTACTCGTCCGACACGACCAATGTTATGTTTGGCGAATTTAACTCCGTCTCTCAGCTTTTAATGTCGGAGTTCCCAAACGTCTTTTCAGTTAAATGTTCATGCCATCTAATCCATTTAGTTTCATCTTATGCTGCACTGAAACTGCCAAAAGGATTAGAAGATTTGGTTCGCGATGTATATAACCACTTTCATCGCTCATCCAAGCGACAAGAAGTCTACCAGCAGTTCCAAAAATTCTATGATGCTGAACCCCGCAAACTGCTCTCGCCCGGGCAAACTCGCTGGCTTTCTTTACAATTGTGCGTGGACCGCATTTTAGAACAGTACCTTGCCTTACAACATTACTTTGTCCTTGTTGCAAACGAAGACCCGACTCATTCAAATGATCACATTCTCAAGGCGCTTCACAATAAGTTCACCCTCGCGTACCTCGAATTCCTTAGCCACCAGCTTGAACGAACGTTTTAATTCATTCAATCGGCTCTTTCAAAGTGAAAGGCCCCTTCTACAAAACCTCAGAAAAGAAGTCGAAGGGATGATAAAATCAATAGCAAGCGATTTTATGTCCATTGCATATGTCAAGCAAACTAAGACAAAAGATATTGATCCAACCAGAGTCGGACATCATCTACCACTGCATCAAGTCTATATCGGTGTTGCAGCAACTACTACCATGCATGAGATCAAGGCAGGTGCAAAACAGGAGGATGTACAAAAATTTCTGAGCGACTGCAAGAATTTTCTTATCGAGAGCATCTTGCAAATCAAGAAAAGATTTGATTTAGAAGCCGAAATACACGACATTGTTTCTTGTATTGCACCAGAGAACGCTGCCGCTCGTGTCCCACCGTCTTTGATTCACATTATTCAGAAGTTACCTTATTTAAACGAATTCTTGGATACTGCGAAACTTGATCTGGAATGGAGAGAACATGTTTTCGAAGATGGCCTCAAACCTGATCTTCACTGGGATGAATATTGGAAGATTGTTAAAGATGCTAAAACCCCTACAAGAGAGTCCAAGTACCCAAATCTCACCAAATTTGTTGAGATTCTCGCCTCTTTCCCATTCTCCAATGCACCAGTTGAGAGAGTTTTTAGCATATTGAAGCGAGTCAAGAGCGAGCACCGCACATCTCTCAAGTCCTCATCGTTAGTGGCGTTACTTCAATGTAGAATGGCAATGAAGAATGACAAGTTAACATCTACGAATTTGAAACCAAGCCAAAGAGCTTTGGGTCTTGCAGATAAAATGAAAGCTAATGCAACTGATGAACAAGCCAAAGAGCTTAGAAAGAAATTTCTTGACGAATTATTTGAAGAGAACGCTTGAAATTAAATTGACTAAGATTCGAGCGAGTCACCAGCAAACTGTCTATTCTTGACTATTAAAATACTTCCGGATGTTTTTAAGGAGTTGTTTTGTATATAGAATATAAAATTGATGTTTGAGGTTGTAAATTTGTCACCATGGGAAAAAATTGTTTTTTTTATCAGGGTAATTTGCAAGGAATTTGCAAGGAAATTAGGCAATTTTGGCAAGGAAATTTTTTCATAAAAAAGGATTTTTTGGAGTCTGAACAGGAAATTTGGCAAATCAATTGTGGAAGCCCTGATCACCACATGGTATAGAGTATACAGCATGAGTTTTCTGTCTAGTTGCTATGCGATCCTTGGGTTTCGCGAAAATATGTCCCAGTATCTGAAGGGTTTTAAGGCAACTTTTATACCACAATTATTCAGGATCCTTCTGATTGGTTCTGCAATTCACTGAATGTATGGAGCTATAGCAAAACCTGTTTTTGAGGAATCACCCTCTGAGGAATTGCATTTAGTCGGGACTGGAGATTTTAAACAATCATTTAAAAAGTTTTGTGGATAATTGTTCTCTCTCAGTACACTGAGAACATAATCACGTTCGTTGTCCCTAGCAACGCAATTGGATGTTAACGATTCAGCTTTTTTGAAACAAAGTTTTTGCAACAGACTTTTTATGACTTTTTGGATGGTGTGAGTAGGATAGATATTTGTAGGTTTACGGTAAACATCAGTTTCTAACTGCCCTATGATATTTCTATGAACATAAGTATCCAAAAAAGCCAACTTTCCCTCACTCTCATGCTCTACAGTGAATTGAATTGATGGCTCAATGGAATTAAAATGTTTCAACAAATTATCGATCTAATTTTTGTTAACCGCAGAGGCCACATTGTCAACATATCATAACACTTTTTAATTTATTGTCTAAAATCTCCTATCCCGACAAGATGCAATTTCTCAAGGGTTATTCCTCAAAAAAACAGGTTTTGCTATAGTTCCATACACTCAGGTAACTGCAGAACCAATCAGCAGGATCCTGAATAATTGTGGTACCCAAGGATCGCGTAGCGACTAGACAGAAAACTCTGTACTGTATACTCTATACCATGTGGTGATTGAGAGAAAGAATATCTAAGTAAAACAAAGCGCCAGTTCGGCACACATTTAAAAGAACATCAAAAGGCTGTTTTGAACTTAGACAGTTCAAAATCAGCCTTGGGGCAATATGTGTGTCAAATTAACCATAACATTGCATGGAACAATTCAAAAGTCATTACCACTAATGATCATTATGGACAAAGGTGTTGTTTGGAAGCCAGGCATATTAATGCAAGTATTTGTGCCCTGAATAGGGATGACGGAAGCTATTTGCCAAAAGAATATTTACATCTGATTGATAGATGATGTCATTTTGAGAGTGTATATGGAACCGAGTTTCAACATCAGATCACCCCTGATGAAGATATTAGGATCACCCGTGATGAAGACACACCGGAGTGTTGTGAAAGTTAATCTTTGTGTGGTGATTACTTTCAGAGTAGCGATAATTACGATTAATCAAAATATGCAATGATTAAAATATTTATACAGACATGTATTGATATGTATGGGCACTGGACATGTCTCACTACAGTTAGTAGTTCCTATAGTAAGATTCATCCTCGACGCTCTACTCAAGCACCTTAAAATTCGAGTAAAACACCATGCGCGTCTCTCTTTCATGCACTGTAAATTACAATACTGGCTATACTGGCCACACATACCAAAACAAATGCATTCTCTCACTTCCAACTAACACCATCAATAGGTATCATTACATTTTTGAGATCTCAAATTATTCACTAGGAATTAGAATAGTGTGTATTTTTCTGATATTATGTTGAATAATTTGATATCTATACACATACTGCATGCAGGATATATAAAGGAAAAATATCTGGTGTGGCACTGCACTTGTGAAAATTGCAAAATTTCAAAGTGGAAATTTCGATTGTGGCAAAGATCACTTCTCATTGGCAAATAATATTGTTTATTTGTTACGATTCCTGTCAAACCAGTTTTTGTACATAGGGTCAGCATTCGTACTTCGTAGTTGTTTGAAAACAAGCACATGCAATGTATGAAAAGGTTTTTGTTCTCTTTTTGTGGATTTTTTGATCAATCATACCTTAAAATCGCTTTCTTAAGGTAAGACAATGATTGATATTGTTAAAGCAACACTTCTAGTTAGGCTTATAAGTTTTTTTTTGTGCTTGAAAAACTAGTTTTTCTATGGTTTTTTCAAGCATCTTGCGTTTCGTTTTCCCAAGTATTTCGGCCCCCTTTTCTACATTTGTACAGATTTCGCCAAATGAAAACTGATGAAATGGCCCTTGCAGAGCAATGAGTATATTGGAAAACACAAAGATTCAGTTCGAAATACAAGAGATATAACTACTTTAGTGGATCATCTACTGCATTATACCATAAAAGCACATGTCACATATACTGTTGCTGGGTTGGATGGCTAATATTGTTTTATTGTCTATTCGCATTCTACGGCTTCAATTGTTATTCCAAAAACATGGAGATCGTTTTTTTTTTGAGCTGTGGTTACGACATTTGATCAAGCGGCGGCGGGATGCATATTCATTTATAATATGGTGAGTTTTCAAATACAGCATTAAATAGTTTGCTTTTTAGTGTCCTTCGGAGCTTAAAAGATGCCTGTGAGCCATACTCGGTTGTTTTTATCCAATTTTTTACTATTTTAATAGTTTCTTTTCCCGTAACACACTGAAGAGAGTCATCATTCATCACATGTTCAAGTTGTTTATATACCTCGTCCTGCCTATAATACTATAGGTTTATATATTTTTCATTCATGGTATTCTCAAGTCATCGCTGTAAAGGGAGTATAAAGATGCATTAAAGTGGTTGTAAGATGTAAATAACATGCATTCACAGGCAACCGAACAGTTGCGACCTAAAATATCAGCAAAATAGCGTATGTGCACAATACTTTTAATATACTCCTTCGCAAAAACGTTTGCTTACCTACTGAATCACTTCAAACTGTGTAGAATTAAAGCATTTACCTTGAAGAAAACGCTTCTTTTTAAGTCATCCTACATGGTCAAGCAATATGTATCCTGTTTTAAAGAAATTAAAACAAAGAAATACCTTTAATTAAGTTTTGTGTTTCTTTTAAAAGTTATGAAAAATGTCACAAAAATGACAAAGTGTAAAGGATTTTAGGGTAAAATAATACAAAAATACACTTATCAAATTCAAAATTCTAGTTTCCTTGTCTGTCTATAAGCTTCCTGTTCATAATCTTGAGTGTAATTGGCTTCGAGGTAAGTATTTTATGTACTTTGTTAGCACACGTTCGTGAGGTGACAGTATACGGCAAAAGGCAAAACACTGACGTAGGGCTCTATATGTATTTTTAATTTTTTGTCTCGCTGTCTTTAACATTTATCAATAAAATCCCCCTTGTTTATGCTTTTTTCAGTTACAAACCTCATACACAGGAGCCAATCATCTCTTTATGTGCAATTCAAAATGATGACGACACTACAGGGTAGGTGCCACTAGCATTGTTTGAAAAAAATTTTGTCAAAATCTCGATAAACATTTGCGTTTTTATCATTCTTAAAAATAACGTTTGAAGTTAAAACTTCGGGAGAATGTAGTCAAATTACCAGCGTTTAAACCGATGTAATTTTAATATTATTTTTACTAGTAATTAGCAAGATATTCAGGCCGTAGCAAACATTGTAGTATATTTTAGTAAAAAAACTTGCCAACCTTGTCATAATATTAGACCACAGGCAGCCCGGTCACTGCTGTTACGTCATGCTATACTAGAAATACATTGCATGCAAAGTCCCCTCGCCTGAAGCAATATACATATATTTCCATCACTGAAATTCTATAATACTCATTTCTGCTGAATGATCCAAGTTGTAAAGTAAAATGCTATATCTGGGTACAATTATAAAGTCGACTCTCTTGATATCTCTAATCATAATTGTGCTACGAATAGTTTTGAATACTACAATTTTTAGCGAAATTTCAATTACTTTTTAAACAAATTCACCTTTAATCACCTTAAATCAAAATCATTTCAACGAAATTGAGGATTAAATTCAAAGAGGTGTTAT